TGGTACTTACGGTGGTACTTACGGTGGTACTTACGGTGGTACTTACGGTGGTACTTACAGTGGTACTTACGGTGGTACTTACGGTGGTACTTACGGTGGTACTTACGGTGGTACTTACTGTGGTACTTACGGTGGTACTTACGGTGGTACTTACGGTGGTACTTACGGTGGTACTTACAGTGGTACTTACAGTGGTACTTACAGTGGTACTTACAGTGGTACTTCTAGGTACTTCTAGGTACTTACAGTGGTACTTCTAGTGGTACTTCTAGGTACTTATTGTGGTACTTACGGTGGTACTTACAGTGGTACTTACAGTGGTACTTACAGTGGTACTTACAGTGGTACAGTGGTACTTACGGTGGTACTTACGGTGGTACTTACAGGGGTACTTACGGTGGTACTTACGGTGGTACTTACAGTGGTACTTACAGTGGTACTTACAGTGGTACTTACAGTGGTACTTCTAGGTACTTCTAGGTACTTACAGTGGTACTTCTAGTGGTACTTCTAGGTACTTATTGTGGTACTTACAGTGGTACTTCTAGGTACTTACAGTGGTACTTAGAGGTACTTATTGTGGTACTTACAGTGGTACTTCTAGGTACTTATTGTGATAATTCTAGACACAGCTGTAACTTAGTAATTCAAGGACACTACAGTATTATTCCTATGTAGTAAATGTGGTACTTCTACATACATACATACAGAGGTCATTTGTAGGATTGTTTGACTATAAAAACATAAAACAACATTATGTAAAACAAACGTCTTTATTAATATGGAATAAGTAGCACAGAAAGGACAGTATAAATACATTTAATGCATATTTCAAAACAAGTTTCAAGGACAAGGGAAACACTGCAAGAACTAGGTACCCAACCCAAGTAACAAGAATTACACATTACCAGGTACTTACCAGCCAAGTACCAGGTACTTACCAGCAAGTACCAGGTACTTACCAGCAAGTACCAGGTACTTACCAGCAAGTACCAGGTACTTAACAGCAAGTACCAGGTACTTAACAGCAAGTACCAGGTACTTACCATAGGGACTGGCCCATAATAAGACAAAGGACTTTAACATAAGTACCAGTGATAACACCAGTAATTATACAGTAAGTACCAGGTACTTACCATAGGGACTGGCCCATAATAAGACAAAGGACTTTAACATAAGTACCAGTGATAACACCAGTAATTATATAGTAAGTACCAGGTACTTACCATAGGAACTGGCCCATAATAAGACAAAGGACTTACCCATAAGTACTAGTGATACCAGTAATTATATAGTATACCATGTACTTACCAGCAAGTACCATGTACTTACCAGCAAGTACCAGGTACTTACCATAGGGACTGGCCCATAATAAGACAAAGGACTTTAACATAAGTACCAGTGATAACACCAGTAATTATACAGTAAGTACCAGGTACTTACCATAGGGACTGGCCCATAATAAGACAAAGGACTTTAACATAAGTACCAGTGATAACACCAGTAATTATATAGTAAGTACCAGGTACTTACCATAGGAACTGGCCCATAATAAGACAAAGGACTTACCCATAAGTACTAGTGATACCAGTAATTATATAGTATACCATGTACTTACCAGCAAGTACCAGGTACTTACCAGCAAGTACCAGGTACTTACCAGCAAGTACCAGGTACTTACCAGCAAGTACCAGGTACTTACCAGCAAGTACCAGGTACTTACCAGCAAGTACCAGGTACTTAACAGCAGCAAGTACCAGGTACTTGCTGGTAAGTACATGGTATACTATATAATTACTGGTATCACTAGTACTTATGGGTAAGTCCTTTGTCTTATTATGGGCCAGTTCCTATGGTAAGTACCTGGTACTTACTATATAATTACTGGTGTTATCACTGGTACTTATGTTAAAGTCCTTTGTCTTATTATGGGCCAGTCCCTATGGTAAGTACCTGGTACTTACTGTATAATTACTGGTGTTATCACTGGTACTTATGTTAAAGTCCTTTGTCTTATTATGGGCCAGTCCCTATGGTAAGTGCCTGGTACTTGCTGGTAAGTACCTGGTACTTGCTGTTAAGTACCTGGTACTTGCTGGTAAGTACCTGGTACTTGCTGGTAAGTACCTGGTGTACTGGTACTTGCTGTTAAGTACCTGGTACTTGCTGGTAAGTACCTGGTACTTGGCTGGTAAGTACCTCGTACTTGCTGGTAAGTACCTGGTACTTGCTGGTAAGTACCTGGTACTTGGCTGGTAAGTACCTGGTACTTGCTGGTAAGTACATGGTACTTGCTGGTAAGTACATGGTATACTATATAATTACTGGTATCACTAGTACTTATGGGTAAGTCCTTTGTCTTATTATGGGCCAGTTCCTATGGTAAGTACCTGGTACTTACTATATAATTACTGGTGTTATCACTGGTACTTATGTTAAAGTCCTTTGTCTTATTATGGGCCAGTCCCTATGGTAAGTACCTGGTACTCACTGTATAATTACTGGTGTTATCACTGGTACTTATGTTAAAGTCCTTTGTCTTATTATGGGCCAGTCCCTATGGTAAGTACCTGGTACTTGCTGGTAAGTACATGGTACTTGCTGGTAAGTACATGGTATACTATATAATTACTGGTATCACTAGTACTTATGGGTAAGTCCTTTTTCTTATTATGGGCCAGTTCCTATGGTAAGTACCTGGTACTTACTATATAATTACTGGTGTTATCACTGGTACTTATGTTAAAGTCCTTTGTCTTATTATGGGCCAGTCCCTATGGTAAGTACCTGGTACTTACTGTATAATTACTGGTGTTATCACTGGTACTTATGTTAAAGTCCTTTGTCTTATTATGGGCCAGTCCCTATGGTAAGTACCTGGTACTTGCTGTTAAGTACCTGGTACTTGCTGTTAAGTACCTGGTACTTGCTGGTAAGTACCTGGTACTTGCTGGTAAGTACCTGGTACTTGGCTGGTAAGTACCTGGTAATGTGTAATTCTTGTTACTTGGGTTGGGTACCTAGTTCTTGCGGTGTTTCCCTTGTCCTTGAAACTTGTTTTGAAATATGCATTAAATGTATTTATACTGTCCTTTCTGTACCACTGTAAGTACACAATAAGTACTGCACTAGAAGTACCACTGTAAGTACCTAGAAGTACCCTAGTAAGTACCACTGTAAGTACCACCACTGTAAGTACCACTGTAAGTACCACCGTAAAGTACCACCGTAAGTAACCACCGGTAAGTAAACCCCTGTAAGTACCACCGTAAGTACCACCGTAAGTACCACCGTAAGTACCACCGTAAGTACCACCGTAAGTACCACCGAAGTACCACCGTAAGTACCACCGGTAAGTACCACCGTAAGTACCACCGTAAGTACCACCGTAAGTACCTAGAAGTACCACTGTAAGTACCACTGTAGAAGTACCACTGTAAGTACCACCGTAAGTACCACCGTAAGTACCACCGTAAGTACCACCGTAAGTACCACCGTAAGTACCACCGTAAGTACCACCGTAAGTACCACCGTACCACCGTAAGTACCTAGAAGTACCACTGTAAGTACCTAGAAGTACCACTGTAAGGACCATGGACTTACCGGCCCGTAATGTAAAGTGTTACCAATATTTTTTTTAAATTGCAGAAAACCAGTCATTTTTTACATTGAGGACGGTATTTGAAAGACAAAAATGAATCTTATGCCGAGGTTCAGGATGGGTATACTAATGACATTATCACACCAGGCTGGACCACGCCTTACTCCAGTGTCTGTCATAATCAACTCCATGCCAGCCGTGTCAATCAAGCCAGCGTTTTAAAAGCGAAAGTCGAGCACTTCTCATCAAACGGACTTTCAAGCTGGGGCCTAAGCTCCAAAACCAATAAACAAACTCTATCCATAAAAATCTCATTGGGTAAATCACAAACGCATAAAGAACTCTTAAACGCATCTTGTCTCTTGTAGTCGCTCCAAGTTGAAAAAAACTTTTACACTTTCGGGTGTTTTTATATCTTTTATTTTATTTAACAATGTTAAATTACTAGTTAGGTCCATATTTTTATTGAGAAAATAAGCTTTAAAATGACGTCTCACATGTCATGGTAGCCATAATAACATATTACATCAATGCTGCAAGTGAATCATAATAATTTAAAGTTACTAATGGGCTAAATTTAAATTAAAGTGACTACATGCACACATGACTGTGGCTAAAGTATATTACCACTATAATACCGCCTACACTGTCCCCACTACTGAGTTCAAAAGGATTACTATTCCTAGCATTAATGACGGCTAACAAAGAAAGGTATAAAATATTAAATAACTCAAAAAGCGCTTTTGAATCTGTATTTATATTAAGGGAAGGCGGGAAAAAATTATGAGTTTTAAAATATATGCATAATGCCAGTGAATATCATAAAACCTAGATACAAGAATAGAGAGGCGTCTAATGTAAAACAAAGGAGTGGGACTACTGCATAAATAGAAGTATTTATAGCATCACACAAAAATAATCTCTTTTGGACCAAGTTTTATACCTTTTGGAGAATCATTTTGCACCTTCCTCCAGTGTCTGACGCACAACAAAGCACTTGTTTTTAATTCACAAACATTGAACATAAGATGCTGACTCACAGCTGTTGGATAAGGTACACGTTCTTTGTTTGCTCTGTTCAAAAGGCGAAAATATGCTATGCTTCTTTTCAGATGTTTCTATTTTCTACTTGTTTGAGCAGGGATCAGGTCAGCCATGGCTCTATTTAAATTCTACATTCAATAATCAATTTAAATATTGCAAGATCAAGTTACTCATTTCTTTTTTCTCTGATAACAACTTCCTTCGACACGCAGCCTGCAAAAAACAATGGCTGTGTTCTGTTTACTCAAAGGAAAAAACGGTGCATCAGCATTACTGCTATCAGCATATCTGTCGTCCAGCATCTCAACCCTATCTCTCCCCCCATCACCTCCACTTCCCCAGCTTTAGCCCTAACATGTTTCAGCGGGTGCGACGGATGTCAGGCCGATCCCTATAGCTTAGCATCAGAGATTAGTGTACTCTGCCACACGTATGGGACACACTGCTCGACTCCCTTGTGTAAAGAAATCAGTTTTCTATCTTGTCAAGGCTTGCGTATAAAACATAGTGGCATCCAGTCCTCGAGCGAATGTTCCAGCGCCAGCATCTAGGGGCTGGAGTGGGCTGATAAACCGCTGACCACAGAAGACATTCAAATTATTGAGCTCAGAAAAATGGAGACATGAGGGACAGTTCTGATACACAGTAGAAATTACATCCACAGAAAAATAATGCCTGGGAAGTCTGACATCGTTGCTGCCAACAATTACAACTGTCTCTACTCTCTCCTCGCGTCTCTCTCTCCTCGCGTCTCCGTCTCTCTCTGCTCCTCGCGTCTCCGTCTCTCTGCTCCTCTCTGTCTCTCTCTGCTCCTCGCGTCTCCGTCTCTCTGCTCCTCTCTGTCTCTCTCTGCTCCTCTCTCCTCGCGTCTCTCTCTCCTCGCGTCTCCGTCTCTCTCTGCTCCTCGCGTCCCCGTCTCTCTGCTCCTCTCTCTCTCTCTCTGCTCCTCTCTCCTCGCGTCTCTCTCTCCTCGCGTCTCTCGCACCTGCGCTTCTTAAAGATGTTGTTTGATGCGGAGCAGAGTCAGCAGCTAGATTTGTTGTGAGATTATTAAAAGAAGCTGGTTCTCTTATCTTTACAGTATATAAAGTTTGTGGATGTCATTGCATTGGTGATTAAATGCTATTTTATTTGAATAATGATTGTAAATCTGACTTTTAAAGTCAGTGCCTCCCCAATCACAAACCTCACCGCACGTCCCTGGTTGTTACCAGCCAGCTACAACCATAGAGTAACAACATAAATAAAGACTTTTATTTTGAAGGATCAGCCGAATCCCTGCCCCGTGTTTCCCCTGCTCTTTCCTCAGACCGTGGATCGTAGGAGTTCGCTGCAAAGTTGGATCCATCGGTGAAATCTGCAGCTTTGAGGTGAGTGAGCTCCACGTTGCTTTACCAGTAGTGATGGATTGATGAAGCTTCATGAAGTGTTGAACCTTTTCATCCATTGGTTCGAGAAAAGGTTCATTTCTTGATGCTTCATATGCTCACAAACCTCCTGTTGGTCAAAATCTGTATTGACAATTGAACTGTTTGTGAGGCTCTTGCGCATAGGAATAGCGAACTATCTAAATGACGTCACTAAGACACGCCCCCGCCGCCTGTCAACTCCCGCCCACATGTTTCGGACAAACACTGCCGAAATGAATCAAATACCACTTGTCACTTTAGACGAAAATGATTTACCAGGGGCAAAATTCCACCATCAAACCATCAGGGATCATAGTGTAGACCAATTATAACGTTGGCTTGAATGTCGTGGTCTTCCAGTAACTGGTAGAAAGTTTGATTTGATAAAAAGGTAATGGTGAGGATTATGCTAACATTATCTAGTCATTTAAATTGCAATGCTAGCGCCTTCTTTGTTTGTTTTGCTGTGATTAACTTCCATTTATCAAGTTGTTTTTGCACTATCCACTTTGTAATTAGTTTGATCATTAGTTAGCTACAGTCAGCTGATATTATAACAGATCCATGGGGTCACAACGGGTTACGCCACTGTCTCTGAGAGAAACTATCAGAGCTAGCCACACTCAGTAAACGCAAATGACAATCAATCAACACATTTAAATGTTAATGGGAGAATACGTTATACACATTCATAACACAAGTGCACGGAGGTTTTCAGAATTAACTGTTCAGGTTTTCATGACAAAAATACTTTTTTAATGCGACTAAAGCGATCGCTTTTAGGTTAACTATCCTCACTGTTACTCGCCTGCCACGGGAAAACCTTTGGGAACTATTTTCTTTGCACTCATTAAATAAACCTTTCGGCATGAGTAGTGAATGACGTTTATTTTGTGTGTTCAATTGGTACAAAGCCGTATAATAACAGACACAAAGTTGAAAAAAATCCCTCTCATCTTTCTTCAGGTGTGAGAATTGTATACTTTCTGGATTAGGACAAACAATACTAATATGGATTGATGGGGGTAAATGGTGTAAAGAGAAAGTTTGTGCTAACTACATTCAGAAGAGCTCAGACGGACCTGATACAGCGGTCCAGATCCAGTCCCAGCTAAACGTAGCTAGGACTGGATCTGGATGCTCCACAGTTGGTCCAGCGAAGTGTTTTGAAAAAACATGTGCCCTTTTTAACCTTTTCATGAGAGAAATTCTGCCGACCACAAGCACCCACCTGGTCTGATCTGGTCCTGGTCTGGTCCTGGTCTGGTCCGATGTTGTGGTTTAACGAACGGGTTGAATGTTACTTTCATATAGTCCTTTTCAGAGTATCTGAAATCGCTCCGACAAGCACCATAACTGCAGTGTTTTGTTGTCACCATGATTCAATGATTTAGCCCAAATAAATACACACGCGTATGAGGAGAACACAGTAGAACTCAACGAGTCGTACACAATGTTTGTCCGAAACATGCGCGCATGCGCAGTCATCTGAGCTATTTTTAGCACATTTCGGAAACCGGACAGTGCCCTATTAATACTGGTAACAGAAATAAAAATGTAATTTGATTGTGTATGACCCATTAATTTATCTGTTTCATTATGATCAATACACACACACACACACACACACATACATATATGTAGATATATATTTATATACATATTTAATGATGAATGATTATAGCTTTTCAAGTCAAAATCGACAGTAGTTCAGTTGGTAGAGCATTGGCCTTAAGGCCAGAAGGTCGTGGGTTCAATTCCCACCTCTGCACCTTCTCCATCGACTCCCACTGATGACTGCTGTCGTTGTGTCCTTGGGCAAGACACTTAACCCCACTTTGCCCAAAAAAGCCCCCGCTCAAAGATCAAGGCTATGCTCACACTCAAAGAGCAGCCGTCCTCCTGTGGACTCACCACCTGCAGAGGGTCAGTGAGGGGCTGGTGCTATGAGACTTGGGTGGCATCTCTGATTGCCACCCCCCTGACCCAGAAATGGATTAAAGGGTAGAAAATGGATGGATGGAAGTCAAAATCAATGTTATAAATCCAATAGGACAACAAACATGTTGAAAGTGTAAGTGCTTTTCAAAGGACGTGACACAAATGGGGATATCATTTGGGATTGTGACTCCATCAGTTGTTTAAAACCAAAACATTTCTGACAAAATTCTTTCTCGTGTATTTACATCGACGCACTCCCGGTGAGATTCGAACCCCGGTCTCCCAGGTCCCAGCCCTGCTTCCCTATCAATTGAGCCAACCAGCTGATACCTCAACCCTCTCCATCACTGACTACATTAATCACCAAAACAAACACACAGTTTGAGCGGATCTTCTGCAGTACTTCATGAATTGCTCCATTTCCTGTGCTCCCGAGGCTTCAAACGTCATTAGTGACGTCACTCATCTAAAACAACTCAGGCTTCGGCCCGCGCTCCGATAAAAACTTCAGGGATTTCTCGGCTCACGCCCCGAAGCGCCGACGCGGCACGACCCATCACTATTTACCAGCACCCTGCTGAGAGAGGACAGACACGGCTCCTCACGGCTCAACACGGGTCCACACGGCTCCACACGGGTCCACACGGCTCCACACGGCCAGGGCCGGCTAGGTCATCAGGCGCCCGCGCCCCAGGCGAAAATATATTATGGCGCCACTTGAACACTTGTAGAGGGCATCACAGTGAACAAATGTGCTGTAGTCACAAACACTTAAGATGAGCATTTTGGCGGCTCATTCCCGCGGCTTCTCTTTCCACTTTTATGTAAGAAACAGCCTAAAGGAGCCACCTGCTGTTAATCAATGTTTGGCAAGTTACTTCAAAAACGTAATAAATTATGTTTCTCATACAAAATAATGTATTGGTTCAGTTCTGGTTCAGTCCTGGCTCAGTCATAGTTCACTCCTTGTTGTCCTGGCTCAGTCTTGGTTCAGTCTTGGTTCCAGGGCTGGCCCTAGGTCAGTGTTTTTCAACCACTGTGCCGCGGCACACTAGTGTGCCGTATGATATTGTCTGGTGTGCCGTGAGAAATTCGTCTACTTTGTCTAAAAATAACTGCATTCGCTGTTGACGAGCGGTGACTTGTTTTGAACTGTGGAGTAACCATGTAATACTTTTTCAAATCAGTAGATGGCAGCAGATAGCTAAGTACTTTGAAACTGAAAAATTGGATGCGACCACTGGCTGTAACAGGTCAGCATTGTGGCGAGAAAGGTAAAATTGGATGCGACCAACAAATGTGGGAGGGAGCGAGACAAGAGCTTTGTGGCGAGTGAGAAGTGAAAGTGATAGAGACGTTTTTGAAAATGAATTATGCCGTTTCTGAACAGGATTAACATCCTCCGCTCTGCCCCGGGGCAGCTGTGGCCGCGTTGTAGTGGTTTAACTATGAAATGTAAAATTTTTGTACAACAGCTCTCGCTAACGCACTTCTGAACTGGGTACCGAACGCAGACCATAGTCGAGTGGACAGAACCACAAACATGCGGACCGGACAGAACCATGGATTCGCGTTCAGGACCTCCCGTGTCCCTCATCCAAAACTCTTGAATTTAAAGCTCGCATACCTAAATTTTTCCCATGCACTAACAATGCATGTTCTTTGTGTGAGTTATTATTTGACTATTTGGGCAGAGAGTGGATTTTCTTAGTTTTTTTCCACACAGTTAGTGCCACTTTATTCCCAAACTCTTGTTAATTGTATAGAGAAATATTAAATAAAGCTTAATGTCAAGGCCTGGACTTAAGCATTTTGATGAGAATAACTGTATATTGTGAATATAGGCTACAGAGTATACTGTATACATTATAAGATAAGATAAGATATACTTTATATATCACACAGAGTATGTACAGTATATATTTTTACATTAGTACTGTATACATTTTTACATTTTCTCCTGGAGGTGTGCCGCAACATTTTTTCAGTGAAAAAAGTGTGCCTTGGCTCAAAAAAGGTTGAAAAACACTGCCCTAGGTCATCAGGCGCCCTAGGCAAAAATATATCATGGTGCCCCTTGCACACTTGTAGAGGGCATCACAATGAACAGGTGTGCAAACATCCTTCAGATTTAAAAACAAATATGTTTAAAATTTGCATTTTGGCGGCTCATTCCACTTTTACGTAAGAAACAGCCAAAAGGAGCCACCCGTTGTTAATCAGTGTTAGGAAAGTTTATTCAAAAACGTAATACATTATGTATTACTTAATACTGTTTTTTCAAAAGAATGTATTACACAATAATACTGTATCTGAATTGTAATTACACTACTACTACATTACTTTTAAGTTACTTTCTCCAAATATATATAATTTTAAAAAAGGATTAAGATTTAATAATCTCAATTTCAATTATTATATATAAATTCAGTCTAATAATTGACCAGGCTCAGTCCTAGTTCAGTCCTGATTCAGTTTTGGTTCAGTCCTGGCTGCTGTGAACTAGTTAGCTCACAGCAGCTCACTGCTTTATTTACTGAACATAATGGCTATGCATAATTTTTGCTGCTGTTTAAAACGCGCTCATTTCCTCTCATTGCGCGCGTATTTTCCGCCCGTTGCGTCTGCCTCTGTCTCAAACAGGACTCTGTAGAGAGTGATAACTCTGTGAAAACGGACTCTTGTTGAAAGCTTTAAAGATCAAACCAAAGCTTAGACTCTCATCTGTCAATAGGCTGCATGTATCTGTTCAGAATCAGAATCAGAATCATTTTTATTGCCACGTAAGTAACAGGAGGTCACAGACTAGGAAATTGCTTTGGCTCAGTGCAACAGTCAAAAAGAGATAATAAAAATAAGAATAAAAAACACATTTCAATTTAAAATAGAGTTACAGTTACTATTTACATTATACAAGTGCACATGGTACACACAATGTAAGGTGACAGCAGTACAGTGAAGTAAAGTGACGTATGATGGGCAGTAAAGTGACTTTATAAAGGGCGGGGGGACAGGTTAAGAAGTGTTCAAGAGTCCAACAGCAGAGGGGAAGAAACTGTTCTTGTGGCGGGAGGTTCTAGTCCTGATGGACCGCAGCCTCCTGCCTGAGGGGAGTGGTTGGAATAGTCCATGTGCAGGGTGAGAGGGGTCGGCTGTGATACGACCAGCCCGGCCTCGAGCTCGGGCGACGTACAGGTCCTGCAGCGATGGAAGGCTGCGGCCGATCACTTCCTCTGCAGAGCGCACAATGCGCTGTACAGCGGCTGTAGTCTTTGTTTGTCCCTGACTGTGGCTCCAGCGAACCACACGGTGACGGAGGAGGTGAGGATGGACTCGATGATGGCCGTGTAGAACTGCACCAACATCTGTGCGGGCAGCTTGGCTTTCCTGAGCTGCCGCAGGAAGTACATCCTCTGCTGGGCCTTCTTGATGAGGGAGCTGATGGTCGGCTCCCACTTGAGGTCCTGGGTGATGGTGGTGCCCAGGAAACGGAAGGACTCCACAGAGGTGATGGGGGAGTCCATCACGGAGGGTGGGGGCGGGGGGACAGTGCTCTTCCTGAAGTCCACAATCATCTCCACTGTCTTCTGGGCGTTCAGCTCCAGGTTGTTATCACTGCACCAGGACACCAGCCGGTCCACCTCCCTCCTGTAGGCGGACTCATCGTTGTTGGAGATGAGTCCAATGAGGAGAAAGAACACAGCCCTGTGGGGCTCCTGTATTTATAATCCGAGAGTCCGAGACATTCTTCCCCAGACGCACTCGCTGCTTCCTGTCCGTCAGGAAGTCAGTGATCCACCTGCAGGTGGAATCGGGCACGTTGAGCTGGGAGAGCTTGTCCTGGAGCAGGGATGGCAGGATCGTGTTGAAGGCAGAGCTGAAGTCCACGAACAGGACCCTGGCGTAGGTCCCCGGGGAGTCCAGGTGCTGTAGGATGTGGTGGAGGGCCAGGTTAATGGCGTCGTCTACAGATCTGTTGGCTCTGTAGGCGAACTGCAGGGGGTCCAGGAGGGGGGAGGTGAGGGACTTGAGATGGGAGAGAACCAGGCGTTCAAATGACTTCATGACAACAGACGTAAGTGTTACAGGTCTGTAGTCATTGAGTCCTGTGATCCTGGGCTTCTTCAGGACGGGGACAATGATGGAGGATTTGAAGCAGGCCGGGACATGGCAGGACTGCAGAGAGGTGTTGAAAATGTCCGTGAACACAGGAGTAAGCTCACTGGCGCAGTGTCTCAGAGTGGCCGGAGACACGTGGTCCGGGCCAGGAGCTTTGCGGGGGTGCAGCCTCAAGAAGAGTTGTCTAATCTCTTTAGCGGCTATTGTTAGGCTGGGGGCAGGGCTGATGGGTGGGTCTTTAGAGTAGTGGGGGGTGGGGGAGGGAGAGGTGTCAGGGGCAGCATCAAAGCGACTGAAAAATAAGTTCAGTTCGTCAGCTAGCTTGTGGTCGTCAGCACAGGGGGGGGGCTTTGGGTTTGTAGTTGGTGATCTCCCGTAGGCCCCTCCAGACAGAAGCAGTATCGTTGTTACCAAACTGCTCCTGTAGTCGTTCTCTGTGCCGGGACTTGGCTGCTTTCAGTTCTTTCCTGAACTGATATTTAGCTGCTTTGTAGCCGCTGCGGTCCCCCTCCCTGAAAGCAGACTCCTTTGCTTTCCTGAGCTGCCGGAGTTTAGCAGTGAACCAGGGTTTGTCGTTGTTATAGATGACCCTGGTCCTTGTTGGAATGATGCTATCCTCGCAGAAGTGAATGTATGACGTCACAGTGTCCGTGTATTCATCCAAACTGTCTGTGGCAGCTCTGAAAAGGTCCCAGTCTGTAGATTCCATGCATGCGCGCAGCTCTTCCACAGCTTCATCAGTCCACACTTTGGAGCTCCTCACTGCAGGTTTCGAGAGCTTTAGTCTCTGTCTGTAAGCAGGAACCAGATGTATCATGGAGTGATCTGAGAAGCCGAGGGCTGCTTTGGGAACAGCGCGAAAAGCTCCGCGCACGGTGGTGTAACAGTGATCCAGAGTGTTCTCCTCTCTGGTCGGGCATTTGATAAACTGTCTGTATTTGGGTAATTCCTGGCTCAAGTTTCCCTTATTAAAATCCCCCAGGATAATAATCAGAGAGTCCGGGTATAAGCGTTCCATACACAGTACTTGCTCTGCGAGTGCGCGCTGAGCCTCGCGCGCGTCCGCACATGGCGGTATGTAAACAGAGGCAAGAATGAATGAAACAATTTCGCGCGGGGAGTAAAATGGTTTACAATGGATGAAAAGATATTCCAGAGCAGGAGAGCAGTGCTTGGAGATCACTGTCACATCGTTACACCAGTTTGTATTGATGTAGAAACACAGTCCACCGCCTCTGCTCTTCCCTGAGAGCGCACAATGGCGATCCGCGCGGAACAGCCCAAAACCCTGCAGCTCCAGAGCGCAGTCCGGGATCCGCTCGTTTAGCCAGGTCTCAGTGAAGCAGAGGACACAGGATGTGGCGAAGTCCTTGTTTCTTCTCATGAGCAGGCTGAGTTTGTCCATCTTATTGCCCAGTGAGCGTACGTTGGAGAGAAAAATGCCGGGGAGAGCCGTGCGCGCTCCTCTCCTCCTCAGACGCACGAGCAGGCCTCCGCGCTTTCCCCTTTTACGGGCCCACACTTTTTTGGCTAGAACATGAACTAAATCAGCCGCAGATGCCAAGAAAACAGGCAATAGGTCCATGGGAACGGTGGGTCGGATGTTCATAAGTTCCTCACGGGTGTAGGAACAGCCAGATGCACAGTTAAAAAGTAAAAACAAAAGAAAAAGAGAGCAGCAAAGAGCCATGTCGACCGTACGAGGCGCCATCTTTGTATAGAACCATATACCTCTACTTAGAGCCCGTTTTTCATTCTCTTCTTTTTTTTGGTGTTTTTTGGCTGCACCTGATGTCTTGAACTGTCTTTTCATAAAAACGTTGCCCAAAAACACCAAACGTTGACCAAAAATATGTCCATCTATCTTTCACTCCTTCTGTGAATGCACGAGGCTGTCCCTCCCCCACATACTCACCTTGGCGTGACAAGAGAGAACCCTACAGCAGCAGGGTTCAATGATGACAATTTTATAAGTTCATAGTATACATAAAATGTTTTTTTTTTCAATCTCACGTGATGGGAAACACTTAGCAGAATAAAAAATAAAAGAAAACATTTTTTTTTAAAGATTGCAATTTTGCGCCCCATCCTGCAGATGACCTCTGCCCTGGGACGGCCCTGCAAATGACACACAAAACTGTTTTAATGTGAAATTCAGTTAACCAACTTGTTTTTCTCAGGTAATCATAAGCATAATCTGACAGACGTCACTTTGTTTGGGGTCCAGAACAATAACTCAGTGTTTATAGTTTATCTGACATCTTTTCTGAGTTACACAGTAATAACAGACATTACTACAGGCCTACACTTGTTACATTGATTACACAAGTCAGTAAGTAGTGTGTAAAAGAAAATGAATTAAATGTAGGATTCATAGTTTAGTTCTCATTGTATGTATGTAAGTATGTAAGTAAGTAATCTTTATTTATATACTGCCTTTCACAGATCAGAGTCGCAAAGCGGTTTACAATTGTTATTTTGGGGCATCTGTCCTCTCACTCCACACAGAGATGGGAGCGGGGTCGCCAGTACAGGAGGCGCATGCCAGAACTATTGCACATGTTTTTAGTTATAGGGGAAACCGGAGTACCCGGAGGAAACCTACGCAGACACGGGGAGAACATGCAAACTCCACTCAGAAAGGCCCTGGCCCAACCGGGATTTGAACCCAGGACCTTCTTGCTGAGATGATATGTGATGGATTTCTTATTGTATTTCAGAAAACATGTCAAATGCAAAGCCCAACTTCGGTGAGTCTCAGGTGTGTGACATCGTGAAGCGACTGTATGGCCTGACCACGGCTCAGATCCTCCCTCTGCCCAGTTATGACGACCAGAACTTCTACGTCTTATCCACAAATGGAAACAAGTATGTTCTGAAAGTGATGAACTTGGAAGACAGCAAAAACTCCAGTCTCATTGAGGTCCAGACCTACGCCATGTCCTTCCTGCACCAGCACCACATTCCAGCCCAAACAGCCACAGCCACAGTCTCTGGGAAACTCATGAGTCTGGAGGAATTGGGTAAGCACTTTGTCACTAAGGAGTGTCCTGCTCATGGACCAAATATGTCACAATAGAGTTATTTCAAACTTGCTACAAATGTACACAGCATAAGTGTTTCCTTCGAGTTGTTGGTAAATTTGTAATTTTACCATTTTAACTGTATTTAAATCATGCAAAAGTAACATTTTATATTTTTAATGTTCATAGGTGAACATTTTACAATTCCTGAAATATTTAACCATGACAAAATACATCATTACTGGGCTTTTTACTCGTCTGTTATTCACATGTTTTCCTTGTATCTAAAGCATGATGCCGTAGTGGTTCAAGTTAACATGGATCTAAAAACAACCCTAGGTTAGTTTTTTATGATCGAACCCTAACCCTCAAACATTTTTCATAGTTGTTTGTATCCTTGTTTTGACATAAGTATATCATAAGCATGGATTGATAATAATATCTGGATAGTGTACTATTAGCTTATAGCTGTCCCATCCATGGGCACAGGGGGCGCTGTGGTACTGCAGACTAAACTCATGTGGGCTTATAATAAGTGAAAGAACTTGGATAATGCAGAGGATTGCAGCAACATCTTATTCTTGAAGATAGAACATCACTGAATAAGTTTTGCTGTTGACAGATTGTGGCTTTGGTCCGCAGAGGTACCTTGTGCGACTATTGAGTTATTTACCTGGAAAAACCATATCCAAAGTCCCGCACACACCACAGATTTTATTTGACGTTGGTAAGATGGCAGCTAAAATGGACAAAGTTCTGCAAAAGGTATTTCACTTTTTTGTTGTTAATCCTTGCAGACAAAACACTACTGTCTTACTGCTTTACAGATGGAGCATCCGAATATCGCTGTGTTGGAGAGAGATGGATTCATTTGGAGTTTGTCCAATTTTCTGGTTGTGGAAAAATACATGCATGTGTTAAATGGAGAACCTGCCCTTAAAGAGGCGGTGAAGTCCGTTATTGAACTTTACAAGACTACAGTTGTGCCCAAATACCCACATTTTCGTTCATGTAAGTTGACGTTTGTGCAGTTGTGCTTGAAAGTTTACACCTTTGAATGACTACACACTTTTTTCACTCATTGTTAGTGGTTGTTTATATTTACTGTCAAATCAATATGTTTCATATTTTTCAAAATTATAATTACGACCAAACCCAAATTACTAATTACAGATGAAGTTTCCAATCCTCCGTTCTCAATAGTGTGTGTTTCCCCTTATACTGAGGGTGTGTCTAATAGTGTGTGTCTTACAGGTGTAAATCATGGAGACTTCAATGACCTCAATGTGCTTGCCCAAGTAGATGATGATGGCTGCGGTAGGATTTGTGGCATCCTGGACTTTGGAGACATGAACAGTGGTTTTTACGTACATGAGCTGGCGATCGCTATAATGTACATGATGATAGAACATCCCAACCCCATAGAAGTGGGACGGTGGGTGCTGGCGGGATGGGAGACTGAAATCCCCCTCATCGCAGCAGAGAGGGAGTGTCTGTACGTGCTGGTCCTGTGCCGCTTCTGCCAGTCCATGGTCTTTGCCCGTCACTCTGTCCTCCTGCACCCAGAGAACGAGGAGTATCTGATGGTGACGTCCAGGAAAGGAGTCCACATTCTCCAGGACATCTGCAAACTGGGCAAGCAGCATGTGGAGGGGGTCTGGTTCCGAAGTGCTGTGCTTCCAAATTAGCTGATGCTTTGATTAAATGTGACGTTTGTACATATGACATCACACTGCATAATGTATAATTTTTAATAAATAAAAATAAATAGAGCTTAAATACATAATCCATGGCTCATTTATATTTTTGGGAGTAAATATTATTACATCCCAATGTGCATGCTGATATTATATTGTCCACATCATATAATTATCATGATTATTAATTAACCAAATACTTATGACATAACAGCTAACCTTTATAACTGACACGTCTTTTTCTAAATCATATTTCACATAGTTCTCAGAGAAGAGGCGCCCGAAAATATCTTTAGTTTGGTCTTTGGTAGCATTGGTAATATCCATTGATCCTTTTCAAGCAAATTTCTCCTGATGTTCATTAGATTGTTTAGAAATACTGGTTTTAGAATACAGCTGACAGTAAATGACCACATTGATCCATGGGTCTCTGCTCTGGACCTTTTACACTAGGCTCACTGTAAATGCTAATATCTAAGTGTTCATGTTTAGTTTTAGAAATCTGAATGAACACTAAATACTCATATGAGTTATTTGCTACACAAATACAGAACATATCTGTTTCTCTGTGCAGCGAGGCCAACGGAGAGATGGCAAAACATTTTTTGGTTCTGTATTATGTAAATAACTGTATGTCCATTCACTACTGACTGTTTTTTTATGCTAGAGTTGTATCAGAGGAAAGAAAGCAGAAAGGGAATCCTTGAGCTACACATGGATCGTACCATCTGAAGTAGATACAGTATGTCTTTGTTTACTCTTGTCTATTTGATGTACAGTAGAGGAGTTTCCTCATTCGAGGCATTTGGCTTCAGAGCGCTGCAGGTGGTATGACTGCTCCTTTTCTTTGTATTTGTACAGTATGTTTACTATTATATAAACTCAACATTGATTATTGATTGTTTACATTCTTTTTATGCTCTCTGCCTGTACAGAAATTCCACAATGGCACTTTGTCTAAAGTGTAATTCATACATTTAACCCGTAGCTCAACTAGGTGTCTTCCCAAAGGATTTGAATAATGTCAATATTATCCTTCTGGGCAAGGATACACTGTTGGAATGGTAATTTTTATTGGTAGGTGTGAGGGTTTTTTAGTTGGTGGCATGTCCTGGTTGTGACAAAACATTTCCCAAGAATGCTCTTACCTGGAATCAGGTTTAGCTTGACTTTCTTCTTTCCCCAGATGTAGAGGCTGTTTGTTGCTCAGATGGTTCTGAGGTGTGACCCGCTGTGGGTATGTAGACATTTAAGGACAACATTTAAAGTATATATATACATGCTGTAAACTAACAAACGTTGTATTTACAGAAATGGACAAAGTCGCTATTTATAAACCAGAACTTACCCCACAACAAGCTGCTGATCTGATCCAGCGTCTATATGGACTTACAACAAAGGAGATCACACGTTTTCCAAGTTATTATGATCAAAACTTCTGCATTAAAACTACAAGTGACTCAACTTTTGTTCTGAAGATCACAAACTCCCTGGACAGCAACAAAACCAGGCTTTTGGAAGTGCAGACTCAGGCTCTGTCTTTTCTACAGGACTGTGGTCTTCCCGTCCAGGTGGCTCTGCGCAACACAGCTGAAGAGCGGCTGAGTTTTGAAGAACTAGGTAATTTCATTTTCTTAATATTTTAGTGCAAATTAGATAAAATCTCACTTTTGAGCCTAAAACCGTGCGTCTCTCTGAGCCAGTGGAATAAGCCCATCCAGCTGTCACACATGCCCCAGCAGGATGTTGGAGTTTTCTGGCGACATCTAGTGGATTATTATTTAATTATGTCATTTGACAGCCACTGCTGCTGAGATAGGGGAAAGCAGTTCTTTGCCAACACCGTGTACGGTGAGGGTGGAGAGCTGCTGACCTCGACTGGGGATATTGTCGGGCGGTGGAAGGAATACTTTGAGGTTCTCCTCAATCCCCCCGTCACGTCCTCCGTTACAGAGGCTGAGGATGTTGGGGCGGATACATCCATCTCCCTGGCTGAGGTCACCAAGGTGGTTGGCTCTGGGTGTGGATGAGATCTGTCCCGATTATCTAAAGTCTCTGGATGTTGTAGGACTGTCTTTGGTGACACGTCTCTGCAACATCGCGTGGCGATTGGGGGCGGTGCCAATGGAGTGGCAGACCGGGGTGTTGGTCCCTCTCTACAAGAAGGGGGACCGGAGGGTGTGTTCCAATTATCGTGGGATCACACTCCTCAGCCTCCCCGGTAAGTTCTACTCCAAGGTACTGGAGAGGAGGCTACGGCCGATGGTCGAATCTCGGATTCGGGAGGAGCAGTGTGGTTTTCGTCCCAGTCGCGGAACACTGGACCAGCTCTATACTCTCCATCGGATACTCTAGGGTTCATGGGAGTTCGCCCAACCAGTCCACATGTGCTTTGTGGATTTGGAGAAGGCGTTCGACCGTGTTCCCCGGGGTGTCCTTTGGGGGGTTCTTCGGGAGTACGGGGTTCGGGGTCCTCTGCTGAGGACCATCCGGTCCCTGTATGACCGGAGCCAGAGCTGTGTTCGCATCGCCGGCAGTAAGTCAGACCTGTTCCCGGTGCATGTTGGCCTCCGCCAGGGCTGCCCTTTGTCACCGGTTCTGTTCACTGTGTTTATGGACAGAATTTCTAGGCTCAGCCAGGGGTCGGAGGGGGTCCGGTTCGGGGACCACAGGATTTCATCTCTGCTGTTTGCGGACGATGTTGTCCTGTTGGCTCCAACGAACCAGGACCTGCAACATGCACTGGGGCGGTTTGCAGCCGAGTGTGAAGCAGCTGGGATGAGAATCAGCACCTCCAAATCTGAGGCCATGGTGCTCGACCGGAAAAAGGTTCCTTGCCCTCTACAGGTGGGTGGAGAGGTCCTTCCTCAAGTGGAGGAGTTCAGGTATCTCGGGGTCTTGTTCACGAGTGAGGGAAGAATGGAGCGTGAGATTGACAGGCGGATCGGTGCAGCGTGCGCAGTGATGCGTACGCTGTATTGGACCGTCGTGGTAAAGAGGGAGCTGAGCCGAAAGGCAAAGCTCCCGATTTACCGGTCAATCTTCATTCCCTCCCTCACCTATGGTCATGAGCTTTGGGTAATGACCGAAAGAACGAGATCACGGATACAAGCGGTCGAAATGAGCTTCCTCTGCAGAGTGGCTGGGCGCTCCCTTAGAGATAAGGTGAAGAGCTCAGTCACACGGGAGGAGCTCGGAGTAGAGCCGCTGATTCTCCACGTCGAGAGGAACCAGTTGAGGTGGCTCGGGCATCTGTTCCGGATGCTTTCTGGACGCCTCCCAGGGGAGGTGTTCCGGGCACGTCCCACCGGGAGAAGGCCCCGGGGAAGACCTAGGACACGCTGGAGGGACTATGTCTATCAGCTGGCCTGGGAACACCTTGGGGTCCCCCCGGACGAGCTGGAGGAAGTGTGTGTGTTGATAGGGAAGTCTGGGCGTCTCTGCTTAGAGTGCTGCCCCCGCGACCCGGCATTGGATAAAGCGGAAGAAAATGGATGGATGGATGGATGCTGCTGAGATAATTCAGTTGCTTAGGTTCAGGTGTTTAACTTTACAATTATCATAGTATTTAAACAAGGGTTGAATGAGACTTTCTAGTGTGTAAACTGCAAAATGTACACACTAGAAAGTCTATTCTGACAACTGTCAGTTTTTAGTGTGACAAGCGAGCTGCCCAGACCACGCCCAACTCTAAGGCCCCCTTCTTGTCCCTAGGTCCTCGGGCAACGCCCTTTTTAGAGACCATTTCCAAATGTTCATGTGAGCGCAGTAAGGCTGGGCACTTGTTTTAGTCGCTCTTTAATTGCATTGGCAGGGTCAGGGTTAGCTCACTTAGTTTGGCCTTTTAAAACCTATTCAGACTTTTAACACTTTTAAAACTCATTAGCACTGTGGTACTTTTTAAATGCTTTTCAACTTTTTTTATTGCTTGAGTATTTTAATGGACTATTGTAAAGAGTGTGTGAAGGGCTCTATAAATACAAATTGATGAATGTCTAAATGTTTTCTCTGCATAGATTGTGGTCATGGACATCAGACGTACTGTGTGAGGCTGCTGGACTATATGCCCGGTGTCACCGTATCAGAAAGTGCAGTCACACAAGAAGATCTGTATGATGTGGGACGAATGGGAGCCGCATTGTCAAGAGCGATGCTAAAGGTTAGGATTATAATAGAATGCTCCCTGTGTGTATTACAAATGTTTCTGGTTGTGAGCCGCTATCGCATCCAGCCACAACGATTGTACGTCGTACTAACCCTGAGTCTCTTTTGCACAGCGTTCACTTTTACATTTCACTTTTTATTACTTTAAGGAATGAAGCTCAGTGACTACAGACTGGGTGTGCTGGAGGAGAGACCTACAGCCTACAGTTCAAACAAAAGAGTTATTCCCAAACACCATCTTACTTGGAATGCAATACCTTGAAGGCTTTGAAAGCATTTGGCATCAAGCCATCATCAAGCAAATATGACGGTCCTCTAGAGTAGAGCGGGGCAGGCACCCAAGGGTGTACAGTCACTACACCCACAGAGCCTTTTGAAATGAGTGAAAACTGTCAGAAAATTCAATAGATTCATACATTCAATAAAAGTCCCTTTGAAGAAAAAACGTTATTGTAAGTTGTGTTTACAGGACACCAGGATCTGACCTGAAGGCTTTTAGGGAATGGATGGAAAAAATATTTAGTAATAAAAACAAAAAATATATCATATGCGGTGACTTCAATATTAGCATATTAAATCCCCTAAAACATAAACATACAGATGAATTCCTAGACACAATGTTTTCCATGGGCTTGTACCCACTGATCACCAGACCCACTAGAGTCACAACGCACAGTGCTACCCTCATTGGTAACATTTTTTGCAACATTTTAGACGCCAGTGTTACTAGTGGTCTGCTGGCTAGTGATGTCAGTGACCACCTACCAGTCTTCATGGTTTATGACATTGACTGCAATATACGTAAACATGTTAAAAGTGACAGCTATCGTAGAACCATATCACAGCAATCAATAACAGATCTGAAAATTGATTTGGCCAGTCAGAACTGGGAACCCATTTACCAAATGTCCGATGTAAATACAGCTTACAACTTGTTTCTTGAAATGTTTGCTACACTGTACGACAAATACTGTCCAATCAAAAAGTGCTCAACAAGTCACTACACAAAAACTCCCTGGATATCAAAAGGGCTTGCGAACTCTTGTAAAAAGAAAAATTCCCTGTACAGAACTATAGAGACTGAACAAAGGTATAAACAATACAAAAACAAATTAACCAGCATATTGAGAGTAAATAGAACAGAATATTATAATGATTTATTAATTAAAAAGAAGAATGATATTAAAGGAATTTGGAAAGTGTTGAACACCATCATTGGTCGTGGTTCTAGCAGCCCTAGTTATCCAGAGTACTTTGTGGAGAACAATACCATTATAAGGGACAAAACAATGATTGCAGATGGTTTTAATAACTTCTTTGTTAATTTTGGACCAGAACTGGCTAAAAAAATCCCTTCTACCAACAAACAGCGGAAGGGGCTCATTGAAACTAACTCAAACTCCATGTTCCTCACTCCCACAGACGACAAGGAAGTTCTGAATGTAATCAGAAAATGTAAAAACAAAACATCACAAGACATAAACGACATTGACATGAAAACAGTACGCAGTGCTGCTGAAGAAATTGTTAAACCATTTACACACATCTGTAACTTATCTTTCCAACTTGGTGGCTTTCCCTCCCAAATGAAAACTGCAAAAGTGATCCCCATATTCGAATCCGGAGACAAACACTGTTTCACCAATTATCGGCCAATCTCCCTTCTGCCTCAGTTGTCCAAAATATTAGAAAAATTATTTGATATAAGACTCTGTGGGTTTATTGAAAAAAATAATGTATTGTCTGATAGTCAATATGGGTTTGGGCAAAATAGATCTACATCACTTGCTCTTATTGACGTTTATTTTTGTATTGAGATGAATCATCTTGTGTCCACCTGCATCAACTTTATCTGTGCAGAACGCCATTCGAAGAATAGGGGCCACACAACACATGGCCTGATAATATTTGGGAATATGATATTTTATGACAGAAGTAGTATCCAAAATGATATGATATTTATCTGTCTGTTTTTGCACATAGATTGAACATCCAAACCTTGATGTGCTGAATCTTTCCGCTAACAAAGCGTGGGACATTGGCCATATACATTTAGTAGAGCAGTATCTGTCGGTGATGGATGGAGATCCGGTGCAAGACATTATCAAAGAAGTGATTCAAGGAATAAAGTCACAAGTGCTTCCAAAGCTCGGTTCATTTCCAACCGGTAATGCAATTTTTATTTTCTGACTTTCCAATTCTTGATAATAACGACTTCTTAACTGTCTATGCAGGAATCACCCATGGCGACTTCAGTGACCAAAACATTCTGGTTTCTCCTGTTGGAAATGGCCATCATAAAGTGTCTGGCATCATTGACTTCACATTTCTCTGTAGAAAATGTTTTGTGAATGAAGTGGCAGTGTCTATAGCATATTTGATGGTGGAGAATCCTTCCCCTTTGAATGTGGGTGGGGCGGTGCTGGCGGGATGGGAGAGCCTCATACCGCTCAGTGACGACGAGAGAGACTGCCTCTTTCTGCTGGTGCTCGGTCGACTCTGCCAGAGTTTAGTTTATGGGCGGCACAATTCTCTCCAATCTTCAGAAAACAAAGACTACTTCTTGGTGACAGCACGCAATGGTTTTAAGATTCTCAATGAGCTTTGGACTTTGGGAAAACAAAAGGTGGAACAAATATGGTTCCTTCATGCCAATAAAATGTCAAGGGACATGAAAGAACAGTAACCTACATTTGGCTCATGTGTTTTGTTTCTTGTTCATGTCTATGTTCTCACAACCCTTCTCTACTGATAAGAATAAGTTGATATCAATGCATATCTGTTTTTATGAATCATGTAACTAGAAAAGCTACTCAGCATTTACGATCAATTACATGCCACTTTTTGCATCTAAAATTCCTGTTTATTTACTGCTCTCAACAACAACAGTAATGGTGGTGTTTAGATATATAGTTTTTTTATTATTTATTATTATTCCCTATCAGTCCACAGTCACATTGGACATTGGAGGCTTTAATTTACAGTGACTTAAAGACACTTTGACCTAGCACCACTAGATGGAGCCATTGCTCTCTGAGGGCTATGCAAGTTGCCTATATAAAAATAATTAATAAAACACATTGTTCTTAAATATGCACTAAATATTTTCTTTCTTTGCATTTGGTCTCCATGTCTTTTGATATTGTGGCATATGGGTGTACAAAAAAGATCAGAATATCATACTTATATCATACTAATGCTAGGCTCTCTAATGTAATTTAGGCCCCTGTCCTGGTCTCTGTCCTGGCCCATATGCAGTCCTGGGTTGGTCTAACACTGGGTTGGTCCAGTCCAGGGTTGGTTCAACCCTGTTGCTGCACGTCTTCCCCCCTCTTGTGGGGGAAGAGAGATGGAAACATTGGCTTTTGCTTAATCCAAGTGACATTTAAGCAGAACTCAGTGGGTTTTGTAGGATTTACTGAGTATTGTGTTCTATTTAATAACATCTATGTCATTTATTTTATTACAACAACATGGCATGTTTTGAATCTTAGTAGTACGGAAGCTTACATTGCATTCACTTGAATAAAAAAAACAGTCTTATTTTATGAGTAAAGTTTCTGTTTTTATGAGTTTTTATGACCTCCAATGCTCCAATCACTAGCGACCCTCCTCTATAAAAGCCCCTGCTCCATAGCCGCGCCCCCTCTTGAACTCTGCCAAGCCAGGCTGGCCTGATAGGCTCGTAGCTAAGGGACTACGCACCTATTCGTAGAACTTAAGTTACATAGGTAACTATTAATTCTACGTCATGGTGCTACGTCCCTTAGCGGACTTCGCTAGTGGGACACAACGCGGAGGCCGTAGGAACATGTACTCCCAGCAGGCCAGCGAAGAGTGATTGGAGCTCCGCCCGAGCAAGACCCTCACACAGTGAGAGGACTCAGGGCAGAAAAAGCAATTGCGTGTTACAGGGTCGCTCCTCCCAAGGACACCCCCAAGTAACACAGACCGAAGGCCACCCGTAGTCCCAGGACGCCTCTCCCAAGAGCTCCTGACGTGAACTACCTGACTGACCAAAAACACACACACACATGCAGGATGCCTCTCCCAAGAGCTCCTGAACCAGGGCGGAAAGTCAACCGTAGGCCCCCTAAGAGGGGGAACCTCACGGTTTCAACTCAATCCGCTGCACTAAGCACGGAATGGGCCACCGACCGGTCCGACACATGCAAAAGGTAAGACCGGACGAAAGAAGAGGACGACGCCCAAGAAGCCGCACGGCACACGTCCTTGACCGAAGGACCCTAACCCTAACCCTGAGGAGGGCCGTAGAGGCCGCCACCCCACGCGTGGAGTGCGACCTGAAACCCACCGGAGGGGCCAGGCCCTGAGCCTGATACGCCCGCCGCAAAGCCGTGGCGACCCAGTGCGCCAGCCGCTGAGATGACAGCGGGGCGCCCCTGTTCTTGGGGCCCAGACACACAAACAGCTGATCCACCAACCTGAATGAAGATGTCATGGCCAGGTAACGCCTAAGCATTCTGACAAGACACAGAAGGTGCCGTCGCTCCTCCTCGAGGGAGGCAGGCGGTGGCGGATGAAAAGCCCTAATCCTGATCACTCTCGACCTGAAGGCCGAAGTGATGACCTTAGGGAGAAAAGCCGGATTGGGCCACAACTCCACCAGACCGTCACCCTCTTCAAAGGACAGGCAAGACGCATGGACGGAGAGCGCACACAAGTCGCCCGCCCTCTTAGCAGACGCCAACGCCAGCAAGAGGGCAGTCTTAAAAGCAACACACTTGGGACTCGCCTCCGCCACCGGTTCAAAAGGCGGGCCCGACAGACCCCTAAGGACCACCCTGAGGTCCCAAACCGGGGGCGTTCTCTGAAGCGGGGGCCTCCTCCTGCGGGCCCCCCGCAGAAAACGTTTGACCAACGGATGAGAGCGGGATGTGAACCCCCCGAAACCGTCGTGACCCGAGGTAGTGGCTGCCGCGAACACCGCCAGGGTGGCGACAGCCCTCCCTTTGTCAAATAGCTCCTGCAGGAATCCCAGGACTCCTTCCAACGGACAACGCCTGGGATCCCAGGAGCGAGAACCGCACCAGTCGCTGAAGAGCCTCCATCTTGTAGCGTAGGCCCTCACAGTGGACGGCGCCCTCGCCCCCTGAATAGTCTCCACCACCGCCGGGGGAAGACCCAGGTCTACGAGGTTCCGCCTCTCAGCCTCCAAACCCAAAGCCTGCGGCCGATTATCGGGCGTGAAAACAGGGCCCCCCCCCCTGGACTAGAGCCCCCGGCTCCATCACCGCCATGCCCCTCAGGAAGGGGAACCACCGGGCATGTGGACTGTCCGGAGCCACCAGGATCACCGACCTCCCCTCCTGTTCGATCCTCCGCAGCAGGACCGGCAGGAGACGAACTGGCGGAAACGCATACAGCAGGCCCCCTGGCCAGGGGTAGTGAGCCAGGGCGTCCACCCCTAAGGGCGGTTCGTCCACGGCCCTTAAGGCGAACCAGGACGGGCACTGTGCGTTCTCTGCACAGGCGAAAAAGGTCGACCACTGGACGACCGAATCTCCGCCAGACCTCCGCAGCTATCCGTGGGGTCAGGCCCCACTCGTCCTGGAGTGGGCCCCCCCGGGACATCCTGTCGGCCCCCACGTTCCGGGCACCCGGGACGTGGCGCGCCCTCAGGGACAGGAGGTGGAGCGCCGCCCACACCAGCGTCACCGTCGCCATGCGATGGAGAGCGGGGGATCTGGTGCCCCCCTGCCTGTTCAGATAAGACACCACCGTGGTGTTGTCTGAGCGAACCATCACGTGTCTCCCCTGCAGCAGTGCAGTGCAGCAGTACCTTGTGTACTGCCTCCATCTCCAGAAGGTTGATGTGGCGGGCTGAGTCCGACCAGCAGCCTCCTACAGAGCTCTGACCGAGGACCCCGCCCCAACCCTCGAGTGACGCGTCCGTGAACACCTCCACGTGAGACACGGCGCAGGCCAGAGTTACTCCGTCCCGCAATAGACCCGGAGTGAGCCAGAACCTGATGTCCGACGCTGCAATTTGGGGAACCCAGATCAGCCTCCCCCCGTCCCGGGAGGGGTGAAGCCTGAGGCGTGAGAACCATCTCTGAAAATTCCTCATGTGGAGAAGGCCTAGCCGCACCACAGCATGAGGCGCCGCCATCATCCCCAGCAGGGACCTGAGGCGCCGAGCGGGGACCCTGGGGCCCGCCAGTACCTCCCTGGCTAGACGGGTAATTTTCTTCCGTCTGTCCTCGGACAATGCAGCACGGAACGTCACTGAGTCTAGCTGCAGGCCGAGATAGATCATGCGCTGAGCCGGTTGCAGCCTGCTCTTCTCCCTGTTCACCACAAAGCCCAGGCGCTGTATATGGGAAAGGACCCAGTGCGTGTGACTCACGGCCACTTCCCTGGACGAGGCCAGTATTAACCAATCGTCTATATAGGTTAATATCCTTACCCCCGCACGTCTGAGCGGCTCCAGTGCCGCCTCCACGCACTTTGAGAAGGTCCGAGGCGCGAGCGCGTAGCCGAAGGGGACACGGCAGTACTCGTAACTCCTCTCTCCCACTACGAAGCGCAGGAACTTCCTGTGTTCCGGAACTATCGGCACGTGAAAGTAAGCGTCTGTCAGGTCTATGGAGGACATCCAATCTCCCTACCTGACACACTCGAGGAGCTGTTTCGTGGACAGCATCCGAAACTGACGCTTGGAAATGCACTCGTTCAAAGTGCGAAGATCCAGAATGGGACGCACCCCTCCTGACTTCTTTGGCACCAAGAAGTAAGGGGAGTAGAGCCCCCTGGTGGCGTCCTGTGGGTCTACCTCTACTGCTGCGCCTCGACTCAGCAGAGAGGAGACCTCCGCTTGTAGTGCCACTAACAACCCCCGTACCTGAGAGCGTGCTGCCCGCACGCCCCGGAACGGCGGTGGCTTTCGGGAGAATTGCAGTGCGTAGCCCCTGCGCACGGTCTTCTCTAGCCACGGATCTGACAGCAAGCCCTGCTCCCTCCAGATGCTGTAGAAGTCTGTGAGGGAAGGAACGGGAGCTGGAACACGAGACGTCACCACCCCGCCCTCTCCTGGTGTTCCTAGCAGGGAGGGGGGGTGGACGAAAGGGCAGGGGGACCCCCTGCGTCAAACCGTGTGTGCCGGGGGCGGTCACGTGTCCTGCAGGCCCGACGTCATAAGTACGGGCCTGCTCATGCCATGTGACTCGACTGCTCCGCCCCCCCTTGGCTCTAGCCTCATGGAGGGGGGGCGAGCCCCTGGAGTGGGAAATCCCGTGCTTAGCCTCGTAGTTTAGAGGGGCTAACACGTGTTCGGCCGAAGCACACACACCACTACTCACCAGATCCCTCCGCCTGACCTCACTCTGGGAGGGCATGGCATGGATCAGAGGACCGGAGCTCGTAGCTCGCGTAGAGCACTGCACACCCTGCTCTGGGGGCTGCAGGCCTAGCGGAGCAACGTTGTGGGCCCGGGAAGTAACACAATCAGACACATTAGACATGTTACGTACCCCCAAATGAGACTCAGACAACGAGTACTGATGAAATGCCGGTCGGCCTTTATTGAAAGAATTCTTACCACCCCGGCCTCCTCTACCATAGGGAGGCCGGCGGTGGGTGCGCTGTTCCCGCGAGCCTCCCGTGGGTCTGTCCGGACCCGGGGGCCTCGTCGAGGGGGGATGATGGATGGCGGAGCGAGGATACGGGTCAGGGCGCCTCCTGGGAGAACGCTCTCTGCCCCTGTCCCAGCTCCGTCACGGCTGGTGGGCCTCGCGCCTCGGAGCTAGGTGCGGGGCTAGCCTAGCCGAGTCTTTGGCTGCAGACTCCAGTCTCTCCACCAGGGCCTGCATGTCAGGGCCGAAGAGGGACGTCTGGGAGATGGGCAGGTCCAGCAGCTGTCTCTGCTCCGCCTCCCTGATGTTAGCCAGCCCAAGCCAAAGGTGCCTGGCCCCGACTTGGGCTGCAGCCATGGAGCGGCCACCATCCACGGCCAATGCCTGGCACATGCGCAGGAGGGCTGCAAGGCCATGCGGACTGAGTCCTCTATGTCCGGGACACCACCGGTCCAGGACCAGTCCTGCACGCTGCAGTACATGCCGTACCCCAGAGCAGGCCTCTTGGCTGCTAGGGGCTTTGGCCACTCACGTGTCGCGTAATGGAGGATCGGGTCCATCCGCGGGCACAACGTGGGTTGTTTCCTCCTCCTCCCTCGAGTGGTGGCGCCCACTGAGGTGAAGTCCTCCACCGTCTGGACCGGCTGCTGTGGTAGAGGAGCATCCATGATGGCCGCCGCGGAGGAGTAGAGGTGTGGTCCAGCGGAAAGCGATCCGGCTCCGGGTTGGACACCACCTCGTCCAGTGTGAGGAGAGAGCCGTCCTCCGAAGCCTCTCCAACCTCGCAGTCACCCCATTCCGCGGGCACGGGCGGAAGGTCGAGTGGGGCCCAGTCAATCTCAGACTCCTCGTCCTGAGAGGAGTCCGGACGGGGCACTGTAGCGGCGATGAACGCGCGCCTGCGTTCGCTCTCCTCCCTGGGGAGAGCGAGACACAAGGCGCAGCTAGCGCTCAACGCCGCATGGCCCGAACCCAGGCACATGAAGCAGCTGGCATGCTGGTCCGTGCGCTGAAGCCTGACCCGACAAGTCGAGCTGCGACGACGTCCGACGCCGGAGGGCGAAGGGGATCTCGGACGAACCATGGAAGACATCTCAGAACGAAGTAAGTGCTGTGGTAGATCTCAATTGGCGTCAGAGTGAAAGAGGGGGCGCGGCTATGGAGCAGGGGCTTTTATGACGGGGCGTGATAGAACTGCCTGATCACGCCCCGTCATGCCTCAAAAAGCACGCACTTCTGAGTTTATTCACGTTTAAAAAATATATATATACGCTATATTATATCCATGCTTTTTCCCTAGTGTCTAGACCCACTGCAGCACATCTCTCCTGAAATTTCGACATAAATAAATAAATAATAAATTAATTAATGAACTATACTGCTGGTGAGCCAGTTCCCACATGCGCGTTGCATCCTATGCTCTGCGGAGTAAAGGGCAGTGGCTGAGATAGTTTTGGCAAATCAGCTTTTTCAGACAGAGAAGTTAAAAAGAGTGGACCAATCAGCGGCATCTGTTTCAGATGGTGGCGTGGAGGTTGTCTCTTCTTAGACTGCTGCCACTGGGACTCGGCCATGGATAAAGCGGCCTGAGTCTACTGTAAAGAGTGCGGAACCCTCTCTCAAAGTGTCTCCCCGAGGTTTCTCACTTTTTCCAAGTGGGTTTCTGAGTCGTTCCTTGTCGATGCAGGAGGGTTTAAGGACATTTATTGACATTTAAGGACATTTATTGACATTTATGGACATTGGTTTCTATGTATTTGAAATTGCATTCCCTGTTTTTGAACTGGCAAATGACAGCTTTGGAAAGTCCTCTGAGATAACTACTGTTGTGATTTAAGGCGATAAAAAAAAAAAAAACAAAAAAAATTGCATCAGTCATGCCTTGATGAAGACCGCTTTGGTCGAAACACGTCGGCAGTCCATTTTAAAGGAGCTATACCCGTTTCTGCATGGTTTGAATGTTTAGCCCTGCCCCCAACTCGCTCACAGGCTTCTCATTTCCCCTACGCTCTCCTCCCACGAAGCCTTCTAGTTTTATTTGCAATCTATATGCTAACATTAGCATTAGCACAACTTCTTGTAAGCTGTACAACAATCACTGATGAAATGGTACAAAAGCAACGCACTGCTAACAAAATATATAACTGAATCACGTCCAAATGTAGTCCGAGCGTAGATGGTCCGAGCGTAGATGGTCCGAGCGTAGATGGTCCAAGCGTAGATGGTCCGAGCGTAGATAGTCCGAGTGTAGATAGTCCGAGCATAGATAATCCGAGGCGGTCCCGCAGGTCTCTCCCATAGACGGTAATCTCTCCAGAGCAGCCATTCCCAAACTCAGTAACACCGAGGCCCCCTTAAAAATCTGACGGGTCTGCGTGGCCCCCCAAAATAATAACCAAGAAGACAACATTAAGAATAGGCTCTTCTGGTTATTTTATTTTGGGGAAATAGCCTCTGCTACAAACATTGTAATACAAAAATGATTACAGTGGATTATTCAAGTCAAATAATAATATGTATTCAACACAAATATTTTAATATTACAAACAAAACATTATAAATTTAACATTAAATAATTATATATATATATATATATATATATATATTTTTTTTTTTTTAATGACCTCCCGCGGCCCCCCTGCAGTACCCTCGCGGCCCACCAGGGGGCCGCGGACCCCACTTTGGGAGACACTGCTCCAGAGGATAAGATGAGTCTCCCCGAGGTTTCTCACTTTTTCCCACTTGGTTTTCTCATGAGTTTTTCCTTGCCGATGCAGGAGGGTTAGTGTGCAACTAGAAGGACTGTAGTGATGATCCAGGACACTTTAACATTCTACAACATGTATGGACATTTTTCAACATGTGTTCTATATTCTTTATGTGTTTTAACTGTTGATTCTCTGATCTGTGTTGGTAATTTCAATGGTTTTGTTAAGTGCTCTGAGATGACACCTGTTGTGATTTAGGGCTATACAAGAATAATGCCCCGTCCCAATTCTCGCCCTTGCCCTTAAAAAGCACACTTGCCCTAGCGTTTGCGCGTGCCCGCGCGAGTGCAAGGGTGTCCCAATACTTAGGGAGACGAGGCGAGGGTCTTCACTGCCCTAAAAACCACCCTTGAGCGCAAGTGAGGTCGGGAGCTCACTTGCGAGCGAGGGTGATCCCATGATGCATTGCGAACTCGGCAAACCAGTTTTTCCAAATGAACATGGCGCCGACTCTCGGGAGCGAAAGCTACAAATGTAAGTACAATTTCACACAAACATGCACTCTAAAAGCTATGAAACGTGTCAGAATTATGTGGGTACGCAATTTGTTCTACAATGTAGAATGCCGGTGTTGGCTCGCTGTTTCGTACGTGTGCATGTGCATGGCATGGTGTGCATTGAATTCATAAACATAGGTAAGCGTTTGTGTTCACCATTAACGTTGGTTGTGTGTTTGCAAACCTGCGCAAACAGCTTGCAGTAGTAGTGGAACTGAACAATTGACCAACGCTGTTTTTCCCCCAGGGACCACGCAGAAAACCTTTGCTCTCATAAATTACAGAGCTGCGAATGAAGCCAATTTTCTGAAAACAAAATTTCAGACAAAAAGTCTGTGGCAGTAAGTGAAACTTCTATTCTTAATAATAATGCTATTGAACACAGCTAAATGCCTATACCTCACTGTATGTTCACAGGCAAGCAGTGAAAGAGCTGGGCCTGGAGGGGAAAGTGACCCACAAGCAGGTCAGTAAGAAGTGGGAGAACCTGAAGAAGCGCTACAAGGTAATTATCTGCAAATATATCTGTCTGGTTAATCCTGTAACCTCAACTCACTTTGCTGTGTGTGTGTGTAGGACCTAAGGGACCCAAAGACTGGCTCAGGCACAGATAGCGGGGAGAAGACCGCTTCAAACTGGCCGTATTACGCTGTGCTTCACGCAGTCTTGGGGGGAAGGCCTGCTGTGGATCCCCCTGTTGTTGTGGCGTCTTTCAGGCCAGCTGAAGACCCTACAGCTTTGCTAATGGTAAGAAACAAGGGAATATTTTTATAGGGGCGGTGTACAATAAACATTAACCCAAAGGAAAGATGCATTGAACCACTAGTCCCTGAGCAGGTTGTTGTCAAACAGTAAAATGTAAGTAATTGGAGGAATTATCAGACCAAAATTTCTATTTCATTTACCACAAGTTAAATAAAAAACACTGGCCAGCCCCATTATTCACTTATTATAAAGACATTTCTGCACTGAATTCACACAGACACGTCACACATGGAAACAGAGTTGCCTTTCCAATAGACATGTTTTTGTACTGCATGTGCAGGTGATGATCTCAGTTGGGAGTGAGTCCAGAACATTTTGGGACGCTGCACTCTCCACGTGCTGTAGACCGAGTGGCATGTGTACTTTGTGATGTGTACACACTGCTATGTCAGTGCTTGTAGCCGTGCAGTTAATAACTTTATTTTCCATGACGTGACAATAATTTGTCTCCAACAGGCCATTGTCAATCCTGACGAGACCCCCAGTGAGGATACTCAGTTGGGCTCTGCCTCCTCTGCACCATCGACCCGGTCTGCTTCTCCAGCTCCATCCTCAAACAATCCTCCCTCTTCACCAACCCCGTCCTCTTCATCCTCTCGCCATAACACCCCTACCCCAGAAAAAGGAAGAGGACAGATAGCCAGAGGATTTTGGACTTTCTCCAAGCAGAGTCGGACAAGGAACAGAGAAGACACGAGGAGTCAGAGGAGAAGACTTTGCGCTTTTTAAGTCTCTTCGAGAGGATGGTGGAAAAGCTGTAGCCTGCTGCTGTGTGGCTGTTTGGGCAAACATGTCTGTTCATATTGTACATATGACATTTTATTAGTGTTTTTCAAAAAATAAATCTCAGTTAATGTGACTGTGTGTGTGTTGATGTTCACTGTTCTAGGAAGAAATACTGAAACTTAAAGTTAGGATCTTGGGAAAGGATATAAAGAAAAGGTCATCCATTTTTCGTTAAATCATTTTATTGAAAGAATTTACTTTACATTTAAGGGTCTTCATTAAACAATACAGCGAGCCTGTCCCTTATTGCAGTCCCTGCCCTTTCATATTCCTCAGCAGCTTCATGGAGAGGAAGTTCCGGGTCCAGGATGTCTGTTGCATCACCATCAGGTTCCAGCACGTCTCCGTTGTCTAGACATACATTGTGCAGAAAGGCACACGATGCTATAACCTGTGGTGCAAATGTAGGCTTGACCTCCAGGGCTCTGAACAGGGTTGACCTCCAGCGAGTCTTCATAATCCCAAATGCTCTCTCCACAATAGAACGGGCTCTTGACAGATGGTAGTTGAATTTCCTTTGGGCCCGGCCGTTCACTGGCTCTCGGTATGGAGTAATAAGGGCGATTGGTCCCTCCAAACAAGGATACCCACCATCTCCCAGAATGAAGTACCCCGTAGGTGGGTACCTTCTTGCAAGGTAAAACGAGCTGTTCTTCAGAATGCGCGTGTCATGCACAGAACCTGGATAGCCCACAAAAATGTCTAGGAATTTTCCTGTGTGATCACAAATAGCTTGCATTTGTATTGAGTAGAAACCCTTGTAATTTAGATAGTCCAGACGATGGAGTGATGGGGGCTTTATGCGAACATGACAACCATCAATGGCTCCAACAGCTTTGTTTAGTAGAGGTGTTCCAGCAAGCTCGGCAAAGCCGTTACTCACTGCCTCAATGTCAGCCATCTTTGGAAAACTGATTGCTCGGTGTAGATTGTTCCAAATGAACTGTGCTACCCTATGGACAACCCTGTGGACAGTAGACCTAGGAATACTGAACACTCTGGACACAACACGGTAGGATAGTCCATGGGCAAGCCAGTATACATATATGAGGACCTCATATTCATTGCCCCAACCATGATCTTGCGCTCTCCTCATTACACGTTGCAGCGAATGCATGGCCTGCCTGGACAGTCTGAAGTCAGGTTTTGTGTCCAATTCGACGTCCAACCACAAGCGTAGAATAGGCACAACCACATTGACTTTACAGTACGTTGCTGGACGGTCACTCTGAAAAACAAAGAGCAAAAAAATATATAGCATGAGTGATGGCCTAAGAGCACAAATTCCCCTCATGAAAGCAGTGATGTGACATTAACAATACAAACTATACATGCAAAGGCATTACAGTACTTCATATAATATTTTCCGCAATATAAATAGTTCTCAATATACTACTGTGACTCAAGATTTCAGCGAAAGGAAAGTAGAACCAGTGTAGCCAATGCTGCACCGCTTTGTTTTTGCGTTTGTGATTCACGTGTTTAGTACATACTTAAAACAGCGATGAATACTTCATGGTTAGACGTTTGGACATATGGATGTAACTTTTGATCTTTGTATCGTTTGTAGGTCGTCTTGTTTTAGACACAGTTTTGGTACGATAGTTAGTAATGTTGCAGCCATAGACTGTATATATATGCAGTCGGGGCAAAGCCGCGCCATTATGAAAGAAAACAACATACCTGAAACATCCGGGCAAGCGCAACCATACGTCGAAGTCTCATCCTACGTCTGTTGCTTCTCCGTGTACTTTGCGAACGGAGAAAAAGCATCATAGCCCACAAAACAGGCAGAAGCTCCGCTGGACCCGGCATTTTCAAAAGTGACAACAACAGCAGTACTTCTCCGGTCTTACCTCCCCTATGAAGAAATATGTATTACCGCCACCTATTGGACTGGGGTGAAATCCGAAAAACGGACATTGCGTGTGACGTAGTGGACGCTCATTTGCATACAAGGGTGTCCCAATACTTAGGGAGAGTTGAGTGCACCCTCCACTTGCACTCGCACTTGCACTCACACTTGCACTCGCACTTAAGGGCAAGAGGGAGAATTGGGACGGGGCCTAAATTGTATTGTATTGTATTGTATGTAAACTAGCTATGTTCACCGGGCTTGATTTCTTCTTTGATAATTTTTTGGCTTTAGTTCCCTCTTCTCTTCCTCACTGTTGTGTCGTTTGGGCTGTTTTGCTGTGTCTGCAGTTACAGCCAGAGGAGTTATAGCCACTTATGCTAAAATGCGACTGTGTTTAGCAGCGCTGTGGAGGCTAGAGGACGCAGCCTCATTCTGTGATTGGAGGAGAGCAGGCGTCATGCTTAGTCTCTACTCAGCACTTTTTACGGCCTGGTTTCATACACAGCTGAATCAATGAGCTCACGTTTTCAATTCAATTACGGATTATAATACAACTTGTAATACGCATTTTTATGAACTCATTAGAAATAAATCGGGTATAGCTTCTTTAATAATAATAGCGGCTGCTGTGGAGCGGGTCGAGCGGAGGCACGCGGGAGTCGGAAAGTTACCCTTGATCGGACTGATTTAGAGTGAAGTCTGAGTCACTGAGTCATTGCACGAAGGACGCAGATGTGGAGCTGTGTGGGAGGATGAAGAGGGGCTCGGCTTCCATCCCCATACCTGTAACATCAGGCCTGTAAAGAAGGGCATCATGGGATATGTTGAAGATGAATGAGGTAGAATATATAGAATGACTCAAGAGCAGTAGTGTGGTGATAAAGTCAGAGGAGGATGTTGGATCAGTTCTGTGGGATCTCCTTAGAACATTAGAAGTACATTAGTCTGATTAAATGAACTTTAGTGTTGGCAGTTTTCATGCTTTTTGGCCTAAAATATTATAACATAGAATTCTTCAATCAATCAATCAATCAAATTTTATTTATAAAGCGCTTTTCATACAGAAGATGCAACACAAAGTGCTTTACAGTTTGGTTAAAAACAATCCCGCCGACCCAAGACCCCTCCCCCTGAGCACCCAACAGACCCACCCCAAACCACAGACAAACACACACACGCGCTCATGAACACTCACACACACACACACCACACACACACACACCAGTAAAACAATAAAACCATGATGAGAGACTTTCTTGATGTTTTTGTTTTGCATTTTCCCCACTCATATTTCCAAAGCAGACATTACAATAATTAAATAAACTTGAATCCTTTTTTAGAGAAAAGGTCAAAACATACCAATGGATTAACCAATTATTATAAACCCGTGAGAAGGACCCGTCTGTGCTGTGATGGTTCAGATTTATGGGAGCTAGAGTTAAACAATTCTCCACCTTTGAGTGAATCCTCAGGGTGACATTGTTAAAGATGAACGTCTAGTTCAGTAGTGGAGACATGGAAAAGAAACTCCAATGTGTGTTATGTAACTAGGTGAGAAAGTATTTTCAATATCCATAAAGATGGAGTATAGAGAGGGGCATAGTTCAGTCTCGCCCACTCACAGATGGAGCCAGATGATAACGACTCACATTCATCGTTTAATGCTCCACACTGGACTTTAACCTCGACAGGCCGCACAGACACAACAGCCGAATCAAAACTTATATGTGGTTCTAAAATACATGAGTTATACCTGAAGGGTAGAGATCCACACACTGGAGAATAACAATAACAGACCTTAAGGTTATCGCTTATTGACAGATTATCTGCATCTGAGTGGGAGGAGACGATCTCGTGTAAAACTAACTGTAAAAATGTCTCTTTTTAGCCATTCTCACAGATTGTTTTTGTAACTCCCCTGCTCTGTGTTTTGTTAAAAGTTCCAACAAGAATATAATGTACTTTTACAACAGCCAAAGAACACATTAAAAGTTGAATATGATGCTCAGCTACTTTTTTACCACTAAAAGTTACTCAGAAGCTCAAATTGGAAAAACACATGAAGTGTTGGGTTCAGAGTGTTTGTGTGAATGTGGTCCATTAATCATTTTGGTCCAGTTTAAAACAGAGTTTAGGTCATGGGATGAAAGAATTAAAATAATTAATTACGTGTCCATTTCTTACCTAAAGCTTCGGAGTGGGAACCAACGAGTGACCTGTGACGCTGTTCTCGTTAGACAATGACTTCAGGCTTTTAAAATAAAAATCTAACTCTCTTCGAGTAGTTACAGTAGTTTTTCTCTGAACAGGAACATCTAAAACGGATTCTGATTCCATCCTGTTGATGATGGGAGTTGTCAGGGATGAAGCAGACAGAGACGGATCGTGGTGCGCCAAACTCTGCAAGTTTATTTAAGTTTCTCTCAAGTTCCAGTGGTTTCCTTTGTTTCTTTCTCTCAGACAGAATAAAGGCAGTACACAGTTTATATAGTCATTGTCACGTCACACATCGAAAGACGTACGTGTCACACAGAGACAGTCACATCATAGTCAAAACATGGAGTCATCATCAGAGTCCTTGTAGAGTCCTGCACGTAGGCCATATTGCTATCTAATACTAACACTCACCCCTTTGATCACATAATCACATTTCAATCTGGAGAGACTTTGAGGAGACAAAATGCATTTGAAGTTTTTTTATTGAAAGGTAGTTTGGCGCCCTAGGCCCCGGTGCGGCGTTCAGTCAGCGAGGTTCCTGCGAGAGTGCGCGCACAATCCCCCGGGACCTAGGCACTGGTGGCGGCATTCGGGCAGCAGGAAGAGGCATGATTGAGGCAGGGTGAGAAAAGGAGGAGGAGGGGAGGCGGTGGTTTGTCTTCTCCTCGGAGTGAAGGAATCCGAGGGCAGAGAAGGCGAGCTTGAGCTTGCGGCGAAAGCCCCCGGAGCAGTCTGAGGGTGGGTCGACTACGAGGAAATCATCGGGGAGATGAAGGACAGAGGGGAGCCGCGCGTAATTAAGCAGAATCCGACACGGCGCCTCCGAGAGATTGTTGAACAGAGAGGGACTACTCCGGCAGCCAAAGGTGAGGCGCACGGCGAAGAAGAACTCTGACACCACTTGACCCCTGAACAGCGCCAGTGGTCGGGGTGGATGGGCAGCAGCTCGAACGCGTCCGGGATGTCGGCCTTGGAGAGCCAGGAGCCGGGCCGAAAGTCTTTATCAGCCTGATCGCGTGGTCCACGGTAGCAGACTGCGGGGAGAAGGGCGCTTGAGGGAAGGGGCTGTTGATGCTCGGGGCGGGCCCGGAGCGGGGACAGGAGAGGACGAATATGAGACGCTTCTTCCTGGAGTGCTTGCGGGTGGCGATGCCCATCAGGTTAGAGCGAGACGGAGAGAATGGGCCAATGACGTAGCCCACGGACACCTCCCGCGCCAGAGCCGCGCGACGACTTGGGGCTCACGGAGAGCCGGGAAGAGGTTGCGGGACACGAGAGACGCCGAGGGACCTAAACAGAGCTTGCAGTCCAATGTGAGGGATTTAAACAGAACTTTCAGTCCAAAGTGAGAGATTAAAACTGAGCCCGCAGTCCAAGTGAGGGGTTTAAACTGAGAGCCTGCAGTCCAGTGTGAAGGAGTTAAACGACTTGTAGTCCAAGTGAGGGATTAATACTGAGAGCTTGTAGTCCAAAGAGAGGGATTCAAACAGAACCTGCAGTCCTAAGTGAGGGATTTAAAACTGAGAGCTTGTAGTCCAAGTGAGGGATTAAAACAGAGCTTGCAGTCCAAAGTGAGGGATTAAAACTGAGCCCGCAGTCCAAGAGAGGGGTTTAAACTGAGAGCCTGCAGTCCAGTGTGAAGGAGTTAAACAGCTTGTAGTCCAAAGTGAGGGATTAATACTGAGAGCTTGTAGTCCAAGAGAGGGATTAAAACTGACAGCTTGTAGTCCAAAGTGAGGGATTAATACTGAGAGTTTGTAGTCCAAGAGAGGGATTAAAACTGAGAGCTTGCAGTCCAGTGTGAGGGATTCAAACAGAGCCTGCAGTCCTAAATGAGGGATTAAAACTGAGAGCTTGCAGTCCAAGTGAGGGATTCAAATTGAGAGCCGCAGTCCAAAGAGAGGGATTTAAACAGAGCTTGTAGTCCAAGAGAGGGATTCAAAGAGAGCCGCAGTCCAAAGAGAGGGATTTAACAGAGCTTGTAGTCCAAGAGAGGGATTTAAGGAGAGCCTGCAGTCCAATGTGAGGGATTTAAACTGAGAGATTGCAGTCCAAGTGAGGGATTAAAACTGAGAGCTTGCAGTCCAATGTGAGGGATTAAAACGGAGCTTGTAGTCCGAGTGAGGGATTTAAATTTAGAGCCGCAGTCCAAGGAGGGATTTAAACAGAGCTTGTAGTCCAAGAGAGGGATTCAAAGAGAGAGCCGCAGTCCAAGAGAGAGGGATTTAAACAGAGCTTGTAGTCCAAGAGGGGGATTTAAAGAGAGCCTGCAGACCAATGCGAGGGCTTTAAACTGAGAGCTTGCACACCAATGCGCGGGGCCAACTGAGTCTGCAGTACAAAGCGCGGGGCCAAAACCGAGCCTGCAGTACAATGCGAGAGGAATAAACCGTCCGCAGGTCAGCATACTTACCCACAACGCCAGAAGACAAGGAAAAAACAACGGGACCACACCGTACCGGCACGAGGAGGCAGGGATGCGCACAGCTCCCACCGCACCGGTCCAGACCGGCCGTATGCAGCAGCAGGCCGCGACGAGACGAGCAGCGGCGAACCCGCAGAAAGAGCCCGCAAAGGAGGAGAGCAGCAAAGACCCACGGACCACAGCACGAGACCCGCAGCAGGTGCAGCGACG